GGGAAATTTGGGAGTAAAATTAAGTGCATTGTTTATTTGAAAACCTTCTTCCTGGAAGTTGGATTTCTTTCCCACAAAAACGGGGGGGGGGGGAAATCAATACGCCCGCAGATGAAGCAATAATTAGAAAAGTACTCGAATGTGCAGAGAAGGACAAAATGACAATAGAACTAAAATAAAGAGAAGAATTGGATTTCTAGAAAATATGGAATAGCATTTATGAGTGGCTAGAAAACAGAAGCCAAAACAGAAAATAGAGAATGTAAATATAATGGTGATATAAATAATTAATATTATTATAAGTGTTAGTCCTGCTGTTGTTATATTATAGGACGATGTAAAAGCAATAGGAATGCAGAATGGAGAACTATAAAGGCTAAACATGAAAGCCGATACAGAAGGCGGTATAATTACTTCATATTGTTGTGTATGTTTTGTGTTTGGTTTTTTTCTTGTTGTGTTTTTCTTTCTGTTTTTAAAGATTAAAACGTTCAATAAAAACTATTTAAAAAAAAAGAATTGTGTATTGCAACTGTTGGTTCCTGCTTGAGGACAGGAGAAGAACAGCTTCCATGGAAGAAGAGAAGATCCAGAGGGACAAGCTCCACCCAAACCCTGAGGGGGGGAAAGAGACCTTTGCCCAAGATTCTGGAGAGGATGGAGAGAATCAACTGCTTGTACAGAATCGGTGATTGAAGAGAGTGGAAGAAAACTGGGCAGACAATCCATCTACTAATGGAGAAGAAGGTGAGTGGCTGCAAACTCTGATGGACTTATATCTAAAGGTAAAGGTTTCCACTGTCCAGTCATGTCCAACTCTACAGCATGGTGCTTATTATATCTTCAATAATGAAGGACAGAGGCTCGAAGGTAACAGTAACCGTTTTAATAACAAGAACGTTGTAACAGTAACAATTGCAGTAGACCGGACAGGCTGGTAGCTGTGCGTAGTAGATCGGTTAGTAAGTAGCAGTAGACTGGATAGCTTCCGCAGTTATGTGGTAGATCGGATAGCCGTTGGAGTTATGCTGCCTTTTATACCCGGCTGACTCGCGCTTGACAGCTCGGCAACTGACAGGAGCGTCTGATTGGCTAAGACGCGCCTGGCTGCTGCCGAGCTGTCATTCGTTAGTGCGAGGACCTATGTAACAGTGCTCATCTCCATTTCTTAGCTGAGG